CCTTACGATGTTGTGTGGGTTCATGAGCCAGTTAACTAATTAATTATACAAACACTTATTGAAGCCCTACTATGTGCAGCCACGGTTCTGGGGGCTAGGGATACAGGAGGGAAGTCCCTGCTTTCGTGGAGTGTGGGTTCTGGTAGAGATGCAGACAGTGCAGAATGTCCCTGGTGGGAGGGTGAAGGGATGGAGGATTGCAGTTAATGGGGCTGCCTCCTCAGGGGGTCAGGAGGATCTCCCTCACAAGGTGACATTAGAGCAGGGACCTGAGAGAAATGAGGAAGCCAATTATGCTGACACTGGGAGCAGCTTCAGGGGTCTTCAAGACCATGAGGCACTGTCTTGGATGAGCTGGTAGAGGTGGGGAGATGTGGCCTGATTCTGGGTGTGTTTTGACGTTGGTGCCACCAGGGTTTGCTCATGGGTCCTGCATGGAATGTGGGAGAAGCGAGGGCTCAAGGACCATGCTGATGGTTCTGGCCTGTATGGCTGGAATAACACAACTGCCATCTATTGAGATGGGAAGAACTGCAGGAAAAATGTGTGTTTTGTTTTTAAAAAAACTTTTCCATTGTTTGTATGTGGTGGGAAGACGTGGCAGTGAAGGTGGCAGTGGAACCAAGTGTTCTCTCTGGCCAGCTAGGCTTCAGCCAGCCAGTGGCCATGGTAAGTAGGCAATTGGATATAAAACCTGCAGTTCGGGGAAGGTTGGGTCTAAAGATTAAGGGCATAGTCAGCATTTATGGGACTTGAAAGCCAAGAGATGGACGCTCTGACCATCCAGTAAGTGGAGAGTGAAAGAAGAGGTCAGAGGACTAGTCCTGTGAAAGGAAGAGAATGGTGTTTAGGAAGTCAAGGGAAGGATGTGTCAAGAAGGAAGGATGTATCGAGAAGGAAGGATGTGTCGAGAAGGAAGGATGTGTCGAGAAGGAAGAGGTGATGAATAGATCAGATGCTTCTTCTTCGGTCAAGTTAAGTTGAGGACTGAGAGTCGGTTCCTGAGATCTGTCAACGGGATGGTCCTTGATGACGCTGGCAGCGCAGTCTCTGTGGGGTGGTGGTTGATGAAGGACAAAGGCACCACTGAGTTGGGCTCTAGAGAGAGTGGGTGAAGTAACAGATACAGACAATTATTTTG